CGAGTGTAGACAAAGTCCTGGCTCAGCCGCACCACGAGCTGGACTCCAAGACGGTAGGTGCTGCTCGGGGCTGCCCGCCGCCCTTCCCGGCACGGCGGGGCCGGCACCCGGCCGCTGCGAGCCCCGCTCGGGCCGCTGTCAGCCTGTCATTGAACCGGGACCTTGCGTGGCTCGGCTTTTCCTTCGGACTTTTTTTCTAGACTTTGCCTTTTAACTTGCCAAAAGCGGTAACTTTATTTTTTTTTTTATTTTTATTTTTTTTATTTTTCTCGAAATCCGAATTTGCCCATACCGACCGCTGGCTCCTCCCCCGGCCTTATATTTTATTGAGCGGTGACATTGAAAAAGCTGTGGAGTAAAATCCAACTTTTTTTGGTGTTGGGCTGCGGCATGCTTTCTGCTGGGAACTTTGTGATTCTTTTGATTGATTATTTATGTATTGTTGAGCGCGTTTCAAGGTGTGAGTGACTTACTGTCAAACCGTGGAAGCTGCTGCTTGTGTCATTTCCCAAAGTCATTTTTTGGAGAGGTCCCCTCACCTGTGATGGCAGGGCCCCTGTGAAATGCACGCGGTAATTTATAGGAAGCTCTGCAAGAGCTGGAGAGTGGATGTGGTAGAGAAGCACAAGTCCTAATGTGTTGTTGTTTCTCCAGAGCTTTTTGCTGCGCTCATTCTCCAGTGCATAATATAAGGAAAAGAAACATGAGATGCAGCTGATTTTTTCTTATTTTTTTTTTTTTTTTAATCAACATTACATTTGTTTGGGGTTTTTTAAACAAAAATTCCACACCTGAGTTTGTCCCCTGCCCCAGTATGGTGTTTTCAGTGTTGGGTCAAACAAAAGGTATTGGCCAGGTGCGGCTCTGGGCCCTGTTTTCTCCCTGTAATCAAGGCCAAGAAAAAGATGAAGTTTTGTGCCTCCTAGTTCGTTGTAGTTTCCAGCCTCAGCAAAGCTGGGAGGGGAGGGGGGAAGGACACTGGTAGAGGTCATCAGTGCTCTGGTGCTGCTGGCTCTGGAGGGGGCTGTGTTTTGGGAAGGGAACTGTCTGCAGAGACATTCTGCTGGGCAGATCCAGCGTGGTCCTTACTGTCACTGGGGTTTATAGTCTGTGTTCTGGGGCTTTAAGGGTTTTATTTTAACCTGAGCCTGGTGTTAGGGGCAATCCTGTCTCGCTGCTGCAACATCTCGTGGGTGCCTGTGTGTGCGAGATGGTAAATAAATGAAGAAAGGGAGAAGCAGGGAGCAAGCATGAGGATATGTTGTTGTGTTTTTTTTTTAATGTAATTTATATGGAAACAAAAAGCCTAAAGCTCTTGTTGAAGCAGGTGGAATCTAGTGTTTTAATTCGACCTACGGATTCTGCTGGGCTTGCCTGAACACGAAGCCCATGCTTTCACATGCCTTAATAATTTGATTTTAGGTTTAATCAGATATGGTAAGATAACTGATTCAACCGTGCTCCTGAAATTAAACTCACCAGACTTTTCATGTACAGCTATATTCTCTATGTGTTTTTAAAGATAAATTTAGATAAGAAGAACAAAGGCAAACAGTATCTTGAACGAGAGTTTAAAAAAAAAAAATCACAGGAGGACACCCTGTCATATTTCTGACTATAATTAGGTCCTCCCCCAGCTTTTTTCTTGTATCACAGTCTAGTCCCTGCTATGTATTAATTTGCTCTTCTCTGGGGGAGGGGTGAAGAGCTTCACCAGAGCAAATCTGCCTCGGTTTTGGTTGTGTGATAATGACTGAATCAATCCAAGTACGAAACTGACTTTAGAATCAGTAATGCAGCTTAAAAGTAAAGCACAGAGCCAGGCAGGTCCTTTCAGGCGTGTATTTGTAGAGTATTGTAGTAACTGTTGTGCGGTATAACAAGGCATTTGACTCTGTTTCAACGTTCAGCACAGGAGGCAGATCGGTTGGGTATTGGCATGGAAACGTCGCTCTTGTTTACAGTTACGTTAAAAGCTTTGTTTAGGTAATGGCCATTCATATCAGAAATAGTATTATAGTAATTTCCTAGAGGACTTGTAGATACAGTAAGTAGAGTTGTACCTAACTAACTAATTTTTTTTTTGGTAGAACTTTGGTTTTTTTGTTTTGGTTTTGGTTTGGTTTTTTTTTCCCTTTTTGGTTGTTGTTTAAATAGTTGACAGGGTTATGCAAAAGGTATGGATTTGCCACGTTCATTGCTAGTGTTTGTCTTCAAAGGCTGATGGTGTTTATCCAAAAGGTTTTGGGAAGGAAAAGTCAGTTCTTTTAGAAAATCTGTTACTGTGGTGCAAGGGACTCCATGCTCTTTGAACTGACCTTCAAAAATGAATGTGTTGCTTTGGAGTTTAATGGCTCTCCCAGCTTTTTACCAGCAGGACTTTGCAGTGATGTCCCTCTGGTGGGCCTGGTGTTCTTTGGTGGGAAAACTTGTCGTTTTGGAACAAACATAGAAATGTCCATATTCTTCCACCTTTGGGTATCGCTGTGGAAAATCCGTACCTGTTGTATTTCCCCAGTAGACAAATGCCTAGTCAGTGCTGAATATATTTGTAGATAATGTTAATCTCTATGAAAAGGTTAGCTTTCTAGATAAATAATTTTACTGTCTATGCTTTTTGAACAATAAAGTGGCATGTAATCACTCATTTCTCAGGTGTGTCCTAAAAAAGATGCAGTATTTGTATCTGATGGAGGCAAATCAGTTTATCAGCTGCACATCAAACGTCTGCGGTATTTCCCATTTTGACAAATCAATTGAGTAAAACTGCTTTTTAGGAGAAGCCCGTGGTTATTTAGCAGTGACAGGAATATTTATCACCACAGGAATAACAGTACCAAATGGAAACATCTCTTCTTCATCAGCGTTTCCTTAAGGTGGGGGAAGCACAACAAAAGCCAAACCCAAACTGTGAAAGAAAGCCTGTCCTTCTGAGTATGCTTAACACAGCCAGCATTAGTGGCATCAGTTGGTTGTACAGACAAGGGCAGCCCTGACAGCAGTTGCAGGTTGCACAGTTCAGGTGGGATCCGGTACTTCAAACATGCTTTTCCAGACCCTTTATGTAGAGGATGTCTGTGTGCAGGTGCAGCTGAGAACCAGAAGTGAAACCAGCAGCACACAGGCATTTTCCTGCGATTTGGGGGTGCTGGTGTTCACAGGGCTGATGTTTTTGTTTGCATGCAGCCTTCTGCCTGTGTGCTCCCTCCAGGCACAACTGGGTACCATTTCTTTGCAGCTGCAGTGGTGTCTTTTTGGTTTCATGTAATTTTTGAATGGGAGAGAGGAGTCCCTTTTTAGAACTGACCCCTGTGGAAGTTGTGTGTGAGGTTGCAGAATTAGCATTTTGGAACGCAGAGGGGACGTGTTAATTCATGCAGCGTAAGGGGAGCCAACGCTGCATCTTAAAACAGGGCAGTGGGGGGTTAAGCAAGGATTTTTTTTTTCCCCCTTTCTTTTAGTCTCTGGTGATGTGCTTCATTCATGGATAGTTAAGTAGCTCCCTGCTGGAAAACCTTTTTTAGGAAATTGTTTACTTTTGTTTTCAATGTAACTTACTCTCTTCCCTTCCCACTCCATCCCAGAAATGCCCCTCTGGAGTTTTCCATTGCTCACATATTTTCTTTGAGAGTGAGTAAATTGGATCAATTGGGCATATTATGAAGGAGACACTCGTCCTTCGAATGTTTCAGTTTCAGTAATTGAAATGTGAATCATTTGACTTAGGTTTTGACTTTGCTTTTTTGTGTGGTGTTGCTTATCAGTTAGCAAAACAAAGCAGAATAAAAGAAGTAACCCCAAACCCAAGTTCAGGAAAGGGCAGGTGTCAAAGCCACCAAGTTAAGACGTTGGTCAGGAATGCTGGCCCTCTTTCTGTGCAACCTCTAGGGCATGTGGATAATCCTCAATATGCAGTTTTGGTGGAGGGGCAGCACCCAGCGACTGATCAAGAACTCCCTGAGCACCCACGGGGATTGCTGCCCAGTAGATGACGGAGGAGAAGTGCAGAAGAGATGTTTTCTTCCTCTTTTCCCATCTCCCCACCCCTGCCAAAGTCCCCAGACAAAACCAGACTGTGACTTATCATTTCCAGAGTAGCTCTGGATGACCCGGTGTGCTGAATTACAAGCCTGAGAAATGAGGGATTAACAATTCAGTGATTTAAAATCAAAATAATGTAAAATGACAACCAAAGCTCCCCTGTTGATTTCCCCTTTCTTTTTCCTCAGATTGACCCTAAAGTTGCGTTTCCCCGGCGAGCACAGCCCAAGGTAAGTAGAGGATCGATAATAGGATTTCAGGCACAGAGAATCACTGTTGCCAGGCAGTTTGGGTTTCAGCCGGGGACTTGGCAATGGAAGCTTTTAAGGTCGGGTGCTGCTCTGGGGGGGATCAGTGCATGGCTGTAGCCCAGGAGGCGGCTCCGTGGCCGTGCAGAGCCGCTCAGCCGCGCTGGACAGCGGGACCGGCACTGCTGCCGCGGCCCCTCGGCTGCTCTGTGCGCTGGGCTCTGGAAGAGCGCTTGAATTAAGTGCAGGCTTCAGGCTTGTTTTGAGCTGAGTTTTCAGTTCTGTGGTTGTGATGGATGGGGATATATCTCTGCCTTCATTGTTTGCAAATTTTCTTTTGTATAACTGGAGAGATGTGTGTGGAGCTGTGCGTAAGCCTCGGGTGGCAAGTTTCTGATGAGGCTGCGAGCTTTGGGAGCTGCTGGCTGTTCTGCATGAGCAGGGGAACAGTGAGGTGTGAGTGTCCAGCTGGTCAGGCTGGCCAGAGCAGTGGCCTGGCCATGGTGTGGCCAGTCCTCACGGCGGCACGGGGATGGTTTAGGGACGCAGACGCTTCTGCCTGTGCGCTCCCTCCAAATGCCACTGTGTGCCATTTCTCCTGAGAAGCTGCCTGTGGAATACAAGTGGTTGTTGCTCTTTAGGTTGTACCTAATGAAAACAAATCAGTTTCAAAGCCAAACTTGCAGCATGTGAATTTTGAAAGCCAGGGGCTGAAAGGAAACTTCTGTAATTGACTTTTTTTTTAATTTATTTTTGAGAGTCTGTTGGAAAAACTTAATTTAACTGATGTATGGCACTTGTGTACGTGCTTGTCATGTTGGGTAACTTCAGTCTTCTGGTAAAAATGGGAGGAAAAGGCTGCAAAGTTGTAGATGCAAGTCAGTAAGGAAAAGCGGTTTAAAGTTGGTGCTGCGAAGCTGCCTGACCAGCTGCCTGAACTGTTACTGCGTGCAGCCCCTCATGAAAGCAAGCAGTGTAACTGTGTGTGTTGAACCATGATGTTAAGTATTGCACAAAGTAGGCATCTAGGAAAAACCTAGTGTCATTTATAACCCCCAGACACGGCACAGGAGAGGTGCTGGGTAGCTCTTAAAAAGAAGAGAAAAAGAGAGCAAACCCCAGCAGCCTACTCACAGGATTTTAAACCAGACTGATGTAGGCAAATGTTTAGAGGTTCTTTTCTTCCTAAGACATATCTAATAACTAATTGGTGAATAATAGTGGGCCTGGATTGCTTCTGCACTGAGCAAAGAGTTTACAGTGTGTGGGGCTCATGGCTTCTGGATTATGTTGTTGGATTGATGCCATCTGTAATATACAATTTGAAGTTACCAGAATTTTGATCTTGTGCTTGGTGTGCCTATCCCCCTTCCCAATACCTTTTAAAGGTTAATTTACATTTTAAACTGTCTTCAGTGCCAGTTATCTGTGTTTACACTGTTATTTGGAGAAGTTTGTAATGCTTATAACAGAGCTGTTAAGCTGTCCCATGTGATTTCTTCTCTAACAATTAAAAAATCCAGGACTTCTTTTACGTTGAGGATATTAGTGAGTTAAATTTTTGTGTTAAAGAATGCAAAATCAGGTTGCATGGACAAAGGGGATTTTGTTTTTCTACACGTAAAGGTTTTTTCCCGTGGTTTTTGGTAACACACATCTTTCAAGCATGGGGCAAATGCTGGAATGGACGTCAAATTCCACTCTTAGCAGGAACTCGCTCTCTCTGGAGAGGTCAGCAGTGTCTGTTGCTGCTTTTTACACATTTGTCCTTTCTAAAGCATTGGGATTTCTACGGGGTACTTGGAAAAAAATCTGAAGATTGAAAACAGCCTAATTTGGAGACTGGAGAAAATCAGATGCAATAAAGAGCAGATTTTACATCAATTATGATGTATTATTCTGGCAAGCATTTCATAATCTGAATATTTTGTTTTCTGTTTTTTTAATTAGATACTGAATTAAGATTTGGGACTTTAGTTGTTCATTTATCCCAGTTGAATAGCAAATGCTCAGCGTTAAAATGTGACTGTACTTTAGTCTAATTAACTAGCTAATGCTTGGGTCTGTGGAGATTAATGGCATTTAATGAAATGTCTCTGTCTCTCTCTAGGTGCAAGGGGAGAATTTGTTTTTTGTTTGTTTCTTTTTTTTTCCTGAGTAATCTTCCTTCCTGGTATGTTGAGCAAAATGGGGATTTGTTTTGGGGTTGTTTTTTTTCTCCCTGTGATTTTCCTGGCAGTGATGGGGGCTGAGGTGAAGCGAGGTTGGGGCTGCATTCTCCCTTCTGGTGCTTCCTCCATCTATCCCTGTCCTTGCTGAGGACCCCTCTGTCCCTGCTCGGCACCGCCAGCTCCTCAGTGGGCACGGCGGGGCTTTGCTCTGCCTTGGCCCTGTGCCGTGCTGCTCCTGCAGGGTCACACTCGCTTGTTCTTCTCTTCCCGGTGCAGTGATTGCCCAGCCCTGCCCTTTCAGTGCCCAGCCCAGTAAAAGGCTTTCTCTCGGGGTTTTCAGCCCCCCCCGCGGTCTGACAGCTCTTTAGGGGATGCGGATCCTGGACCAGCGCAGTGCTTTCCCCCGAGTGCCTCTGAGTGACCCTCGCAGAAAACGCTCGCTGGTTGCCTCCAGTGGATCAGGGGATGTGTAATCTGCTCTCCTTGGGAAGGCCAGGACAACTTGAAGCCATTGTTTTAGGAAATTTGCTGCGGGGTTTAACTCGTTGGGGTTCTGGTGAATATATGTCTCCTTCCTCAGGGCTGCTGTTCCTTGATAAAAATCTGTCTTGCTTCCGAGTGCTGGAAGGCACTCTGTAACAGGAGATCATTTATAACTCTGCTGACTTAAAAAGTCCTTAAAATGCAGCAGTGATGGGGTGCCAGTAGTTTTGTACTGCCTTTTGAATATTGAAGACTTAAGTAATTTGACTTATTATTATTAGCCTGCCATTTCTGATGTTACCTGCTCTGTTAGGTAGGAGAAGATTTACTGTATTTAACATGTTCATTAGATATTTTCAAATGTAAGCAAGTTACTCCCTCACATTTCTGCCTTAGGGATTTATTTCAAAAACAAACAAACAAAAAACCAAATAAAAAGCCTGAAGAGCAAAAGGACAGCAGCCTTGGTCAATGAAGTAGCTTCTTGGCCATGAAAATGTCTTTGGTATAGGAATTTGGATGCTTTGTTGTGCAGAGCCATGTATGAAACAGAGGCAGGGGAAGCTTCAGCCAACATTTACATTGGTGAGGCTGCCCATGGAGATGTGTTTTTTGCTCAGGTTCCTCCAGGCTGTGACTGAGGTGCTTGTTCTTCCTGCACTTACCACAGGGGTGTGATGCCTGTGGCTGGGAATTGCTCCCACTTGAGCAGGCTGGAGCTCATGGGTGCGTGGCATCCATGAGCACTGTGGATGTGCCCTGTGGCTGTGCTCTGGAGCCCTCCTGGAATGGAAAAGGCAGGGCAGGTAGCTGCTGCTGCTGCTGGAGCTGCTCCCCTGGGTCACTGGCATGGGCTGGCACTCGTGTCTGGTGTCCTGAGTGCAGGTGGCTGCTGCATGTTCTAATTTGGGGTCTGGTCTGCAGGGATTTGGTACAGAGCACTGGTGCCATTTGGTCACAAACAGCAGAAGGACTTGCTGAGAGGGGTGTTGTGCCTGGTACCGGGCTGGGGATGCACGACACCGATGTCTTTGAGATGTGTCACTGCCACAGAGGTTGGTGCAGGAGCGTCCTGGCCCCTCTGTGCCCCAGCCAGCCCCGGATCCACACGGTGCCCGTGGCCAGCCGCGTTTCCTGTCTGCCTGGGCACGTGGGCTCGGAGCAGTTGTGCACATCTGGTCCTTCTTCTTGGGCAAGAGGCAGTGTCAACAGCTCTCCTTTCATGTGCTGCTGGTTAGAGCCATGTGAAGCTGCCTGTTCCAGCGCAGCAAATGGAGGGCATGCCCTTTTGGAATAACACCCAGGCTAACCTGGGGTTTTTTTTTAAAGCTAACCAGTGGATTTGGACGTCTGATTCCAATTAAGTTAACTGTGGGTGGGGTGTCTGCGTCCCTTGGCTGTCGGATAAGCCTCAGCCAGAGTAGCAGGGAGAGATTTTATTCCAAAGCAAATGATGGACCTTGAAAATCAAGAGTTCTGTTTGTTTTCTCCCCTGCTTCTGCCTGTAAACTCCTCTGCCTTAGTCCTGCTACTTCACATCTTATTGTAGGTATTAGGTAGACTTTGAAGTTTCTTTTTTTTTTTTCCTCAAAAGAATGTGAACTGGACACAGTAGCAGAACTCAGGATTTTTCCTTTCCTGCCACCCTTCCTTCCCTACCAGGCTGTCAAGAGCAGCAAGGTCAGACCTTTTCCTGATGATTTTTTTTAAAATTCTTTTTAGATTCCCCTGTGTTTGCAGGTCTGGGTGGAGTGAGAAAGGAAGTTTTTCCTGCTCTTGGCATCAGGCATAGATGTGTTGCTTGATAATAATAATGGTGTCATCTGTGTGCAGAGTAGTGTGAAGTCCTTCCCAGATGGTGTGATGGATTTCTTTGGGTGGCCCACAGCCACTGTTGGGGTGTCTTGTTCAACCAGCCTTGATGTGGATCCCTTGCCCATGGTAAGGTGCTCCTGGAATTTGCTTCCCTCTGGCATTGGATGGTCCAGTGGAAAAGTTTCAGAGTCTAAGTCTTGGTGATGAACCCTGCTGCAGGCAGTGCAGACTCAGGGTGTTGAAACCCCTTGTTTTTGGGATGAGGTTTGTGCTCCCTGCGGTGTGGCCAAGGCAGAGGATGATCTCTGTCCCTGGATGTCACAGCCAGAGGAAGAAGGGGCTGTGCAGGGCCTTCTGTGGAGTGCAGTGTCAGAAACAAGAGCTGAACTGGATTTTTGTAACTATTGTTTTTTAGAAATGTAAACATTTATTTCTTCTCCCTAGTCACTCAGGTAGATTGTTCATGTTGTCCTGAATCCCCACAGACTGTCTTGTACTTGTTAAAATGTCTGT